ATTGTCAACTGAATTCATCATTGGAGATGAAAACGTCTTAAAGTAAAAGTCATAAATATATTCTTTAGCCCCAGGCCATCCTACTTAGTTTGCACTGTTTGATAGAAATAGCTGTGGAGGGTACAAGTTGAGTTAAAGAATGAGAGGCTGACATGTTTCTGAGGTAGGCCATCATATTTCCCTGCAAACAGCTTACAACTGTGAGTGTATACACTGGCCAGTTTGTATGTAAATAACATCAGTCAGTGTCAGACTCTGGTTCTGACAAGGCTGTTTGGGTGAGCACAGTTTTCATATAGAAATATTTTCCACACAAGTCAAACAAACTTGCTTTTGATGAGTTGTAAGATGTTAACAGGCTGGTTGCAGATGTCAATAATATTCCCTATGCTACATCTCCTGTTGTCTTCTGTTGATGTAGTGAAAACATGTTGTTTTGAAATGGTCACTTGTAAATAAGGTTTTATTGTTGGAATCCACAATCAACATCTGTTTATGAACTGTTTTTAATGTAGTGTAATTAGTTTTTTGGGAGTAGAATTTTAACAATGGACACTTATTTCTATGCAGCACTTGATTGCTGTTATATTGTTTTAACCCACAATCAGCATCTGTTGATGGACTGCAAGACAGAACCTTTGTTTTTAATGTATCAGAAGCAGTTGTTTAAGAGTAGCATTTAACACTCCAGACATCCATATATGTATAACTCTTGCAATTTCAATTTCATTCCCATTTATAAATAAAAATTTACATAATTCATGTTTTTAAGGTAAATCAGCTTCAAACCGACATTACTGCAAATCCGATCATAGATTATAATTATCAAAAGAAAAAGAATATTGTTTTTCAGGGTGTCTGTCTTGTCACTGACACATATGAGATTGTCAATTGGTTAAGTCAGTTTGTTTACATCAATAATCACATTTTCTGTGATTCATAATAATCACTCTGTGCAGAACTGTAACTAAAATGTGTTCAAGTTGCAGAAATGATTAACTGTGGCTAATTTCATTACTTATTTGTGTAAGGGACTTTGACTGAATCCAATGTCATCTCCAGTTTGACCTATGGCATTAGTAACATCACCCAGTCTGGAAACCATCTCAGTTAAAATGGCAGGAAGTGGATAGTTGACTACCTGAAATGACAAAGTGTCAGTACGTTATTGCAGTTCACTAACATGGTGTATCAGTCTCTCAATGTCTGCTCAAGACTCTTAACATTTAATAGTAATAATGTTTCTTATTACTGATCCATTACAAATATACACCAGTCATTATACATACATAACCTTGATGACATACACAAGTTTTATTGGCTGATAGTCACTCAACAGATCAAACTGTTCCCTTCTTCCTCAATAGATATCATACTTTCTAAATATAACTAGGTGCACTGCCGTGCCAAACATATGGTTAGATGGTAAATTTATGTCTCACCTCACCCCATGCTGCCATCACCACCTCACCCCATGCTGCCATCACCACCTCACCCCATGCTGCCATCACCACCTCACCCCATGCTGCCATCACCACCTCACCCCATGCTGCCATCACCACCTCACCCCATGCTGCCATCACCACCTCACCCCATGCTGCCATCACCACCTCACCCCATGCTGCCATCACCACCCTCACCCCATGCTGCCATCACCACCTCACCCCACCACCTGCCCCATGCCATCCACCACCTCACCCCATGCTGCCATCACCACCTCACCCCATGCCCATCACCCCATGCTGCCATCACCACCACCCCATGCCATCACCACCTCACCCCATGCTGCCATCACCACCTCACCCCATGCTGCCATCACCACCTCACCCCATGCTGCCATCACCACCTCACCCCATGCTGCCATCACCACCTCACCCCATGCTGCCATCACCACCTCACCCCATGCTGCCATCACCACCTCACCCCATGCTGCCATCACCACCTCACCCCAACCCCACTACAAACCATAAAAACAAAAATTTAAAAATAACAACACACACAACAAAACAAACCCACATAGATACATTTTGAGTTTTGTGTACAAGGAGCTGGACACTTCGGCGCTAGTTTGACCTTGACTGCACATCGTCTTCAAATGTTGATATTGGCTCCAGCCAGGACATTTGATTTGATCATTTGTCCCAGAAAAAATACTGAACACAGAATAAGACTAAAACATCAGAATTGCTAATGGATTGAAGTCACCATGTTATCATTTAAAGAAGTATGTAAGTAATCTGTAAATAAGTTGTTTTAATGATAGAAGATAGGAGACCTCAGACCTAGTTGTGTGCCAAAATTCACATTAATCTGAGATGTTAGTTAGCGAAAACAACATTCTTTTGTGAGGAGGACTATGTGTTTTTACTTACATATGCACAATGTGGTCCGGCCTGGCTTAGACAAGACTACTGTGGTAGCTAGCCCCCAAGGCGTATGCACTTCTGTCCACACAGTCATGAGGTGTTCTTCACCAGATGATGGAAACACTCCAAACACAGACCTCGATGTGCTCTTAACCAAGTCTCATAGCAACCTTTTTAAAAATGCCTCATTATTGTGGAATAAAAGAGACAAGACCATTTCCTAATCATAGGAATCTCTGCTAATAGAACAGACCTCTGTAAGATTCCGACTCTGTCACAAGCATATGTTTGTGTAAGATTCCGACTCTGTCACAAGCATATGTTTGTGTAAGATTCCAACTCTGTCACAAGCATATGTTTGTAAATTACTAAACATCAATGATGATGCCATGTTTTAGAGTAAAGGTGAGCCCTAATGGGGCACCTGTCACAAACACTTGCCAAGGCAAGTCAATTGTTCACCTGAAAATATCACAGGAATATATGATTCCAGTCATTTTATCACTTGTACATCCACTTTAGAAATGTCCTTCAAGTGAATACTGTAAGGCTTGTTAAGGTACACTAAGGTAATACAGTCAAGTATTACTAAGGCCTTGCAAGTTTTGGTAGTTGTTAGGTTATATGACACTCTGTGAAAACCTTCAAATGAAGATGCTCAATTATTCATAAGATGTGATGTGTGAACACTTACAGCTGACTTGCTGAAATAGTGCTTGACAGACAAAATTGCCTGTTAAAAAGTTTCAGTCATCCCTGATTTGTGTAAGAACAGTATGTCATTTAATAATATGAACTTCTGCTGATGTTGCATGAAGATAAACACAATGAAGATAATATGTTTTTAAATCTTTGCGATCTTTAAGATAATGGTGTCGTATAATTGCTGATACTGAAGTACTATTAAAATGAGAGTCAAAATAATGACATGAAGATAGATAAAAACATAATATAGTTTCTTGTGAGGTGCCAATATATATATTTATTGATTTTAGCTTCCTGATCTATAGCGTGTTTATTGTCTGCCTGCTAAATGCAGTGTAGAGACTTGGCTAGAACCATCATGTCCACGCAGCCCACTTTTGAAGAACCTGTTGGACGGTGAAAACAACATCTGATGCATTGAGATAAGGGCTGACATGTGTTTTTGAAAACAGTGATCTGCTGGATGTCAAAATATCTTTACCTTACATAAAATTATGTGATCCTATGTACACATTTTACTGATATCAGCCATGCACTGGAACCCAAACTTTTATGATTTAAGTTGAAAATCGAAAATCGACATGGTTTCTTGATAAGCATTGACCTGTCAAATTGTGCGGAATATGTTCACTCAGTTGTGCAGTATTAAGCTGACATGCTGTGAAAACCATAGTTCAACCCAGCTCATATACTGGAACAGTTTCCATTGCTAAATATGGCAGACATGACATGAATCAGGATACATTTTCCACTGATTAGTTTGATCACAGTTACACCAATCAGTTCCTTAAAATGGAGACAGGTGTACAGATTTTCAAACTTGATGTATCAGTGAAATCAAGTCATTGCTATTTGATACAGATTCATAGACACATACCTGTGACATGGTCCATCTATAGAGATGTTTTATGATCTTGAAAATGTTTCTTTTTAACTTTAATATTCTATTCTAAGGAAGAGATTCATGTTAGTTATGTACCCGCTTTGTATCGTTGAAACGGTCTTCCTGTTTAAATGAAAGAAATTGGAAATATACATTTTGGAAGAAGTTTCAAGGGAAAGCTACTAGTTCCTTTTAAAGCTGTTTGTCTGAATAATGCTCCATAACACATATTTTCATAATACTTCAGAGAATTAACAATATAAGTGTTTTTGGTTAAAAACAGGGATTTCCACAACAAAAAACTCCATTGTAAACAAAAAGCATCATGTTTACATGACAATCCTGTGGTGTTTATATTACAACATTCTAGTATTTTTGTTCATGTCAGATATGTAAGCGATGTTGAGCCAGACCTGATAACCCCACTTTAACCTCCGTAAACCCCATAGGCCAGCAACAGACACCTTGATGAAACACTCACTTCTGTAGGCGGAACGGCAGGATTAAGCGTCAGGGGTTTTATCACCGTTTTGAGTTGTTGTTGTTTAACTTGGTGATCTTTACAGATCTTTCTTGTTACAAGAACACAAATCCAGTTTAGAGTGACAAGCCGTTATCTCGTCTGAATCCAGTTTATGGCTGTATCAAAAGGATGTTGCAGCTGATATTTTTTTGCATTTACAACCAGCTAGATAAAATTGGCAGTCTCTACTGTCATTAGGTTTTGAGACTAGGATCAATTCAATGTAGTTTATATTTCCTTTTCATTAGGGTGTGGTGAATGTTTTCTTTTCAACAAAATGCTGTTTTTTAAAAACAATTTGCTCTTTGTTTTCCAGGCTAAGATACCATCTTAGTAGTTCTTGCATTTATATTATATCATGATTGAGAATCACTGTGAAGTGATGATTCTTTGTACAGATGCATTCCCCTTCTTTTCAACATTTTATGTTATCATAATATCCTTGAAATTAATATTAATGAATGATTTACATATTGTATTACTATAAATGCCTCTGTGAACATATCCTTTTATTCTATTACAGACCACAGAAAATGATATATCTTTTGGACCAATGAAATTAAACCAGCACACGATGTCGGTAAGTTAATCGCTTCTTTCATGTCCCATGAGGTGCTCTACATACAGATAGTAGTAACTTCACCATATGTGCTATCAAGCCTTAGAGGTTATCACAATTTCATTATAATGTTTGGATATCCATGAATAACATGTTACCGACATGACATGACATGAAACCATAAACAGTTCATGTTTCATCGTGTGAGAGAGAACACAAGAAATATTGCTTACTGGTAATTTATCGATCTGCCAAACTTAAAAGAATTTAAGCTTTACATTTCCAATTAGTTTTTTGTCTACAATTCTCTTAAGCACTTCTTGTCTTCTCTTTTGAAAAACATGGTTTATCTTTTTGTTCTTTTAGAGATAATTATATATGTGTAAACAGTAAACAAAATATGAGCAATCTTTACAAGAATATAAGTGCTTTCTCCTTTTAGAATTTAAATATTTACAAGACCAGCACATGATTGGCTGTTGGCTGTTGTTTTCCTCTCCTTTTCAAAAATAAACACCATGAATAATATCAAGAAAATGATGGTGACATTAGTATACCCGTAAATATTACATGTTAGATAATTCATGGCATGTATGAATCATGCACTTATAAGGTTAGGCAACAATTTGTTAAGCAATAATACCACATTTTTCAAACATTTTAAAGCATGGCAATTATTCAAAGTCAATAAGCACAAGAGGTACTTGCAAAATATCCTGATATTTAGATATTGTTGGGACCAAGTTATATTTTGATGATATCAGTCTGTGATATATGAAGGGAATGAAAGGTATATGTACAGTTATGTTGATACACAGTGAGAGGAGGCTCTTCATTCCTGGGGATGTAAATGCCAACACTAGCAGCGTCCAGCAATCTGTGCGCACATGTACAGTACTTTTTAAAAATAAGAAAAACATTGCAGAGAAATAGCAACTTGCTGACACATTGAGGTAACTGAAAGCTGATCCAAACAATTCTTACCTTGGAATAGAACAAACCTTTTTGTATCATAGGAATGTACTGTAAAAATATGAATCCCAAGATTATTTTACTAAACATTCCAGAATGAATACCCACAAGACTAGGCATCATTTATGAGAATGGACCAGAGTGAGTGAGTGAGTGAGTGAGTGTCATGGTGGGAAAATATTCCCTAAACTTCACACAATGTTCCCATATATTCGACACCTTGACTTTCTCTATTTTCTCCTATTTTGTTACTACTGGTTTGTTGACTATACCAATCTCTTGCCTTGTGGTAGCTGTATCAAATTCCCATGAGATACTATATTGATTGCCAATTACTACTAATTATGAATACCTGTAAGGTGCTGTGACACTGGGGAGAACACCAGAGCACTGGGCAGATTCCTGGTAGTAATGGAAGCATGTGTTATATAAGGCTGGTGAGATTCCCTGGTCTGTACAAGGAATGTCTGGCATGGTTCTAGTGGCTTGTTAGCCTGCACATCCCTGGCAGGCAACAGGTAGGGACTGAACACATTAGCAGGTCTCCGGATGATACAGAGTCAGAGGAACTTGCGGTGCAGGTTGGATGCTCTGTACTAGTGACCTTTAAAGAGATTACATGCCACAGATATGTTCACTCAAAGAATTCAGACTGTATAACCTGTATCCATGTTGTTGTTTTTGACTGTGAATGGTTGTGACTCTCCTTAAACAAATGGAGAATTGATTTATATATGTCGCAAATTTGTAATCAGATTAAATGATTTGGACTTTGACGATGTAGGATTTACCAAAACATTTGGCATCAGAACGCTGCTGTGTCGTGTCAGCAACAAACTCATATCCATTATGCAAATTGTCTGAGTGATTGGTGGAGAACCTGCTTACCTTTTTCAAATATCACCGATTTTCAGTGAACTATTCATATATACTACGCATCAAAAGTTTAGACTCACTAGTGTAAATGTAGCCACTTACTTCAGTCAACTGTTCTAAACTAGATTTTGCCAAATATTCCACACTGTTTAAAGGTACTGTTTACACATGAACTGATGTATTGTAAAACATATTCGTAACATTGGAAAGATTATTGTCATGAGTTCAATAAATGATGAAACTCAGTGAAAATTGGCGAATTCTTAACAAAACTTTACACCAAAACACAGCTGTTCACATGCACGATATTTACACATGCTTTTCAGCAATATGATGCATGATCCTCGTGCAGTTATTCTGCATAAGCTTTGCAGTTGGTTCCCCCAAGTTAATAGAGAAATTCATTTTCGATGTAACCATATATATATATATACATAACATATAGTGAGTGCTTTAAGTGAGTCTAAACTTTTGATGGGTAGTATAATTCTCAGGGCTGTTTTACCATTTACACACAACAGAGCCTGTTTTGTCAGTGCTTGAAACTTGTTATTCTCTGGCATTATGTAATATATATTTTAGGAAAGCATCTTTTTCATTAGAAGTAGGTATAAAATAAAAGGTTTAGTCTGGCAGAATGTAGTCTCACATTAAAGATGAGAGTGTATTAAGCTTGAGCACATTTAATCCTAGAAATTATAGGACATGGAGTTTTATTTTCTTCTTGTCATTTTAAACAAGATCCTATCACTGACATTATTGAGGAATACTGTATGACACAAGGTCATTCCCCTTTCGCAGAAACATAAAAAATATGGTTTAACTCCTTTTTTTCTTTCATCGCCAACATTAGTCCCAGGAAGGCATATGGGTATGTAATTGCCCCCTCTCAAATGGACATCTAGTGACGTCACAGACACAAACCCATGTCACTGCTGTCTTCAATGGAATCAAACAAAATTGGTATCAAGGGCCTACAGAATCTTTGGCGTCAGTCAGATTAGTTGTCCTCAGACACACTACATTCCTCTTTTACTAGCTGCAAGAATTCCACCAGAGAAAATCAGGGGCTTAATACCTCCTTATCTGTGCTGTGCCACATTGCCTTCAATTAAGGCCGACATTGCCGGTATCCCTGTTTTTGCCCGAGTTGCTCTGATGGATGTATGAAAACCTGATAACAGTGCCTATTCCTTGTCAGCCGACAATATGGTGAGTCCAAATTGTGACTTGAACATGGAGCAGCAAACATCAACAGCAAACATCAACAGCACACATCAACAGCAAGCATCAACAGCATACCGTGTCATCTGGGTCTTTGAATTCTTGAACTAAGCCCAGGTTTCTCTTTTCTAATGAATATGAATGAGAAGGCAATGACATGGAGCAAGCTTTCTATTTCAGGAATGAAATTGAAATCTTTGGATTCTTGTTGATTGCACCCTAAAACAAAGATGATTGGAAGAAAAGGCAAGCAGCCTGGCTTAAATTGTTTTCACTTTTTGATGCCACAAGCCTTGTTAAATTCATGAGTTGATCCTAGCAAATTTGTGAGATGTTATGGTGAACCTGCAATGGTGATATGAAGAGGGATTACGACAGAAGACGTGTAGCATATTGTTGTCTCAAGGATCACAATTTAATGGCTGGATTTGGATCTTTCTGCCAGTCTTTCATTTAGTATAAATAACTATCTCAACAGTTTGGACAGTGTAGTGGTGATAGGGGAGTCAATCAATGCCATTACAAGTCACAGTCTTAAAACTTTTGACCCTAATGTAGACCATCAGTTTGGAAATGAAACATATTCAAAGTCATGAATTCTCATTTTCCTTTAACTAAATCTCGCTATTTACAGTGGCAGTATCAGGAGGTTGATGCTCTGTGGCTACTGGGACCTGATGATATGATATGATGAGTGTCTTATAACATGAGTAAAATTGGTCCAGTTAACACACACGCATACACACGCACACACGCATGCACTGCACGCACGCACATTTGGATGAAAATCGCTTTCAGCAAGCTAGTTGGGTGAAAAAGTCGATATAAAAGAAAAGTGGGAATTAAGGAAGCATGGAGTGAGTTACAGTAAGAAATTATATTTCTGTCACTATACTTTAGAAGTCTTTTTGAAGATTTTAATTATATCCAAATTGGAATGCATAAGGAACATAGCTGCAAGTAAGGTAGCATACCCCTTAGGGTATAGATAGGGGATAGAAACAAAATTGTAAAAGACCATAGCTTTGAAATATTGTTATCATGAACAGGGTGACCGTGAAATAGGCTGATAATGTATTTATCATATCTGTCTGAAAGGTTCATAAGGATAGTATCAGGCAGGACCCAGTTAAATACCGGGATAAAATTAGTTTCAAGTGTTTCCATATTCAGATTGGGGATGTGAGGATATGATAATAAAGGTCAAGAGTTACTATTTCAGGAAAGGTTTTAACCTGATTTGGATTCTACTTGGAAGGGACCTCTCCATCCTATCTTGAGAACAGATTAGGACATTTGTGTTGAGTCACCACACCACTCTGCCCTAAATCCCAGTGATGGGCTGGGATAGAGACATACATCTCAGTGATGGGCTGGAATAGAGACATACATCTCAGTGATGGGCTGGGATAAAGACATACATCTGAGTGATGGCCTGGGATAGAGACATACATCCCAGTGATGGCCTGGTATAGAGACATTCATCTCAGCGATGGCCTGGGATAGAGACATTCATCTCAGTGATGGCCTGGGATGGAGATCATACATCTTAGCGATGGCCTGGGATGGAGATCATACATTTCAGTGATGGCCTGAGATGGAGATCATTCATCTCAGCGATGGCCTGGTATAGAGACATTCATCTCAGTGATGATGGAGATCCTGGGATGGAGACATACATCTTAGTGATGGCCTGGGATGGAGATCATACATCTTAGCGATGGCCTGGGATGGAGATCATACATTTCAGTGATGGCATGGGATGGAGACATACATCTTAGTGATGGCCTGGGATAAAGACATACATCTGAGTGATGGCCTGGGATAGAGACATACATCCCAGTGATGGCCTGGTATAGAGACATTCATCTCAGCGATGGCCTGGGATAGAGACATTCATCTCAGTGATGGCCTGGGATGGAGATCATACATCTTCCCAGTGATGGCCT